CTTCTCCTGTCTCACTTGCTGCTCCCCTCAGCAGTGGATTTCAGTTGATCTGCCTGTTCTGTTCCCCACTCTGTCTCTGGTGAATCCTCTTACCTCTCCCCCACCCCACACCTCTAGCCTGCACCTCAGTTCTTTATGCATAAATAAATAAATTAAAAAAAAATAATTCCCTCCAATGAGCCTCCTTTGCATCCTGATATATCTCATCCTCCCATACTTCTAAAAGTCACCCTTTTCTTACAAGCTAATCCTCCACCTGTACATCTGCCTCAAGAATTTCCTCACTTCCACAGGTCCGCTCTGGATTCCAACACTTGCTTTCTTTGGTTGCTCTCATCCTTCAATTTCAAATAAAAGGACTGGCATAGTCTAAGTGCTCAGGAAGTATTTGATGATTGACTAACATAACACATCTATATCTTCAAACACTTACTGGATGTTTTTAAAAACAGCTTCCTTGAGGTATACTGAGATACAACATATGTGCATATTTAATGTGTGCCATGTGAGGACTTTGGGCACACACATGCATCTGTGAAATCAGCATCACCATCACGGTAACCAACATGTGGCTTGACATTTTAATTTTGTCATCCCACTGTTACCACAAACTCCAAACTTCAAAAGTCTAGAATAGAAATCATTAACTTACTGGCAGATCTAAATCTTCCCCCGACTTTCTCCTTTCTTTCAAATGCATCATAATTATCCCAGTTCCCCATATTCAGCACCACAAAAAGCCTTTTATTCCTCCTCCTGTAAGTAGGCAAATATTAAATCTGGTAATTATATTTCTTCACAATACTAAGCACACAGTACTTGTATTAACCAGTCAATCTAAGGTCCACTGCAGCTATACACAGAAATGACCCACTGAAATAGACTCATTAAACTGTCATCTCTGAATCCCTCCACTTCATCCATTCATCCAATCTTGACAGTTCTCTTCCTATACATAACTTTGTTCAATGAGTCTCCCTGACTCAGAAAACTTTAATGGCTAGTGCATGCAAGTGCCACGAAAATCCTGACCCACTCATATTTTCAAATCTTGCCTCCTATTATGTCTCAAGAGGAATCTTTAAAATCACACTCCCCATGATTTTCTCAAAGACTGTGAGTGCACACCCACACTTGTACAGTTCATTAGTTGTGTTACATGCTTTTTTCTCAAATGCCACAATGTCATCTCCTACACCATTTCTCCACCCAAACCACTTCGTTCTTCTTGAGACAGACAGAAATAAGAAAATAAAATAGTAAGTGTCTTTCCTTTATAAAGCCTCGATGAACACACAGTGATACTGTAAAACAGGGCTATATGTTACCCTGATGCTGATACCTTTTCCCCAAGAAGGAAAAGGGCAGCTGGGTACATTATGGATGTCCTGCATGTTTAATTACATGCATTTCCTAAGGTATTTGCCAGCTTGAAAATGTCCTTCCCAGTATGGACCCCAATAATGTTCTGATGTCAGTTGTCAAGTCTACAGCTCTGTTAATCAAAAGTTTCTATTGTAGAGCAAGTATCGCACAGATCTTGCATTATTTGATATTTCATGTGCTAGACAGAGCTCACCAACAAAATTTTAAGATCTTTAAGGGCAAAGAGCATGTGGTATATTTCTGTACATTTCCCAGAAACCAGTAAGTGTGCTTACACATGCAAGGCAGTTTTACCCTCTTAGATAAAATTCTTCAATAAAGGGTACATTAATCCTCCAACTTCATTTTTCCTTTACAGCTCAAATAACAGCCACTTAAAAACTGTACCACTTATCATATTTAAAGATACATGAGTTTCATTTCAATTTTTTAGTAGGAACCAAAAAATAATCTTTCACAAAAGGCATATATAAAGATTATAAAACAACAGTTGGCATATAAGCCAACATTTAACTTTATTTTCTCACCTTCATTTTATAAAAAAATTTAAGAACCAATGTAGGACACTTGCCTTCACAAACACTAGTTCAGGTTTTAAGAGGAACTATCTGAAAATGCAAGTATGATTTATAAGTGAAAACTTCAAAGAAAAAGCATGTCTTAAATCATTACAGAGTAAATAGTTGAGTGGAAAGGAACAGGTTTATTGGTTTATTATTTTTGTCAAAGTTGTGCTTTAAATATTATTCAAAACTTTAGCTCCTGGTATGGAAAATTCCTTTAGTTATACACACACCAAAAAAGTAAGTACAAATTAAGTACCAAAAAATCATACCCTCAACATTTGATGCAATATGGCAAAAATGTTCATTACCACAATATTAAGAAATATCAACAGTATGAGTTTGAATAACTAATTCATAAGGAAGAGTTTGAACTGGACCAAATCCTGGGTTTTCTTTCGTCACTCTAAGTTTCTTTTCTATTTTAAACTAGTGGCAACAGAAATTTCTTTGTTTCAAAGTCAGGAATGCTGGAATTCTTAAGTGATAGAACAGGTAGCTCGACTTCTACTTCACGTCTCTCCTCAGGGGGAGAAAAACACTGTGGCTAAAGTAATTTTGTTTTTATTCCTGGAAAAATCATCTTTTCCATCAATCTTCATAATTCTCTAAAATAAACTGTTAAAAAGTTATAGCCCAGTCAGGCACTTCACCATGATTTGTGGAAATCGTATAGAGTAATTTCAAGAACACATGGCTAACTCAAGTTTCTTTACTACTCTAAAGGTCTAAATGCTGCTTCTAAAGCTAACAAAACTAGGAGAATTTTACAAGTACATGAGATATTTTTGCATCTCATCTGCAATACTTTTGAAGAAGAGTAGTAAGAGTAGTTTAGACCCAACAGTCAAACTGCATACCGTCAAATTTATTTTGGGGGTACTCTATGATTTTAACTGGGAAAACTCTTGTGCTGCATCAACAACCTAAGAAACACATCTACAAAGAAAGTGGAAATAAGAAATTACCCTCCCAGTAAGGCAGAGAAAACAAGAGGAAAAACAAGAAGTCAATAGTCCTCTCTTCTTTTGCTAACATTGAGATGATTGCTCGAGCCAAATCTGGTGGCTCAAAGTTATTACAACTTTGGGAAGTGATAAAGTGACAGGCAGAATTTGCAATTTCCAATATGTGATCCACTTTCTAAACTAAATTAGAATTCAGAAATTCAAGAGAGGAGCAACTGAGATAACGAAACAAAGCAGGGAGCAATAAGCAATGCTTAAGAGCAGTATTTGCCATTCCCAAGCCATATAAATCAAATAAAGACAAATCAAATAAGGGCCGGAAATCACATATGGCAAATAAAGTTGAGACAAATGAAATAAAGACCAGAAACCACTTTCTTCTGGGTACACACAGAGTTCCCCAGAATCACCAACTGGAGGAGCTGGGAGGCACTGTGCTGACGCAGGCATGCAGGCACGAACACAATGGAGCCAGCAGCATGGAGGCCCTCAGAGACAAACTTTACATCTGTATTGTTCCATTCTCTGTGCAAGAGAAAGGAGAGCGCACTGGAACTTCTGCACACTTTCTTCCATATCAGACAAAACAAAACTATAGTTAGTATCAAAAACTACCTAACGTTCTTGATACCATCAAAGGCAGAACTGAATGAATGGGGTGTGGGGTAGGGTGCAGGGGGAAAGAGGGAGGGCAGGAGAGTTTGAGGCCTTCTGGAAAGCTTGAATGGATTCACCTTTAAAATAGCCTTAATATTTTTCATTTTCCTCCTTCTTCCTCTCTTTTTAACTCAATACACACCAACTTCCTGGGACTCCACATAGTTTGCTAAAAGGCCGTGTGCCTAATAAGGACCCAGGGGAGTCCCAGGGTAGAGCTGTGTCCTACACAAACGATCTCTTTAGGGAAAAAATACTTAGCATATCTTTTTCCGTGCAAAAAGTAGAGAAAATATTAATTACTAAAAAAAAAATTGAAAAGAAAGTAATTCTATGTATCAATTAGTAAATTGAGGCCTGGATCCACAGCTCCTGATTTCTACTAGAAATACAAGTTGTCTATTTACTACTCTGAACATTCTTTCTACACTTGAAAAAAGTTTACATTCACATTTTTAGAAGATAATGAGAGACTGAGCCTTTAGTGTTTCTAGCCTCTGACCCATTCGTAAATGGGTTGTTTAGGCTATCAGGCAAAGGAAAAAAAAACAAACAAACCCACAGCCGTGAATGCTTAAAAGTCAGTGCACTTGGAGAACATCGAGTTAAGCTTGAAACACACTCATGTCCAAACACGACAGCAAAAACGCCTATTTCTTCTTTAGTAAAATGAAAATGTAATGGTGGGTGATTAAGTAGATGTCGAGTAAGAAGTTGGGTCTCACGCTGTAGTCCGTTGCTCGGGACAAAAAGCTTCTTTTAACCGCATGCAATAGTCTTATGGGAAAGCTGGGGGAGGGGGCTGGAGAGCCATCCCCTGGGCGCTTCTAACTTAGGACCCTGCGTTTCTCACGCTACACTATGGGCTGGACCAGGTGGGGGAGCAAGCTACAACTTCGCCTCAAGAAGCAGCACCAAAAGAGGAAAAGCAGTCACCTCACTCACTCGTCTCTACAAGCACACAGGAAGAGCCTAATTCACGGCTGCCACCAACACCCCCTGTCTTGCTCCGCCCCAACTTATGTGTATGTGTTTGGGGGGGGGAGACTCACGCTTTACCCCACTAATCCAGAGACACCTCCATCTCTCCCAAGTGAAGTCCTCCTACTTCCCATCCTGACCGAAACACACTCGGCGGGCGCAGGTGTCTCGTGTCGCTCTGGCCTATTTTTATGAACCCCCCCCACCCCCGCCATCCCCATCACGTCGCGCGTCCCGGCCCCTCCCCGCTTCCCCAGAGGGGTGTAGCCCCCAGAACAGACGCCAGGAAAGCGCTGGAGCCCTCCTCCCGGGTCACCTGGCCAGGGAGCCTGGCCCTGCCTTCAGGGGAGCCCTGGGGTCTCCTCTGATCGCGGAGCCCCCGCGCTGAGAGCGCCCCAGACTCCCGGCCGTCACGTGGGTGGCCTGGGCGGCCGGACCTCCTCACCTGCATCCCAGGCACTTGGACGGCCACCGGTGAGTGGGCCATGAAGGCGACTGCAGCTCCGCGGGGCTGGGGTGACGGTGGCGCCTGGGGCTCCGGCTGGCTCCTCCTCCGGGGGTAGCTGGGCGGCCCTCCCAGGCTTTTCGAGCCGGGCCTGGAAGGACACACAGAAGTGGGGTGACGGGCCGGCGACGCGCGGCCCCCGGGCGGGAAGAGAGGCGGATCGCGGCGCTGCTCCCTGCCCGGGACTCAGTTTACCTCTCCGGCGCCCGCCAGCCGCTGTGGCCGTGGCCGCCGCCGCCGCCGCTGGGGCTCCTCCTCCGGAATGCGGGGCGCTGTGTGTGGCGGCGTCTGGGACCTGGGCTCGAGTGATGCCGCTCGTCTGCGCCTCGCCGCTTTAGGAAGAGGAGGTGGAGGCGCCCCAAACACCCGCCCGCTTGCCGGGCCGGGGAGGCGGGTGGGGGCGGGCCCGCCGTTGGCCCTGCCCCCGCCCCGCCGCCGGGCGCTGTCGGGACCTCCGCGGTTCCCCGCTGAGCAGGGCTCGGGTGGGGGTGGCCGTTGGCCCAGGGGGCGACCCCACCCGTACGGCGAAGAGAGAACCTGGGAATGGGGGCGCCAGGGACACTGATCGGCCGGGAGAGAGCACCGAGGAGTTTGGGGGGCCGGGGCGTGAGGCGTGGAGGGGGGCGTCCCAAAACTCGGCCACGTTGCAGCCCGGCGTGCGAGGCTGGAGCACGCGCGGCCTCGGCGGGCGGCGTGTTGAGTTGAAACTTGGGGGGTGCGAGAAGTCCTTCTCGGCTCCCCGACCACCTGGTGAAGGATGAGGTCATAGAGAGCTGCCTGGTCAGTAGACCGCTCCCCCTCCCCCCCCCCCGCCCCGCCCCACCCCCCTTTCCCGCCCTGGATCTCCGAGGTCTGAGCTGCTGATGAGGCGTGGCCAACCTAAGCCCCGCCCCCGACCGGCCTCAGGTGACTTAAACCTGAGGCTGCCCCTACCTCATGGGCTATCAGCTGGTGGGGGATGGCAGGACTGGGGCTGCTATTCACCTTGAGTTCCGCATGTGTAAGAGAGAGGGAAATTGGAAATCAGATGATACACCGGCAGAAAAAATAATGAGGATAATAGAGGCCTGGGAAACGAGATGGGTTCATTAGCAGTGGATATTATTGAACTCAGCAGACACAGCAGTGGCTTCAGCAAATCCCTGCCTCCACCCCATTTTAAGTTGCATGCCAGGAGGGAGGGAAGTTCTTCTGAGAGTATACCCTATAAATAGCAACAACAGTAACAACGATAATAATAGCGATCACTGGAATCTCACTATGAGGACTCCTGTGGGAACCCATAAGGGGTTAATCACATTTTAAAAGTGTAATATCCAAATGCCAGTTTAGAGTGAGGATGAAGTTTCCCTACCTTGGGGATTGGTATAGGTGTGGGCCGATACAATGCTCGGGCTCTAGTCGATGCTCCAAATGTTTCTCTTGTTCCTTTAGAATCTTTCTTAAGAGATAGCATATTAATGGCATCAATATCATTCTTAATAATGGAAGTATTTTTTTTTCTGCCAGAGGCTGCCAAATGCTATGTATGTGTTATCTTTATGTATGTGTGTATCTTTAACCCACAGATCATATTGCTTTCCTCCCATTTTACAAATGAAGAAGGCTTAATGATATTAAATAATCTGACCCAAAGATCACACAATGGAGAAGTGGTAGACCTGGGAATTCAAACCCAGGTCCAACTTTTAACATCAACTATCTCAGCAACTGCAAAGTATAAAAAGAGTATTGCAAACTAGAGTTGCTACACTGTACATTAGGTCTCCAGAACTTATTCATTCATTGTATAATTGCAATTTTGTACATTTTACCACCTTCACCTTTCCTACTCTCCCCTTTCCATCATCTGCCCTGGCAACCATCAATCTGTTCTTGGTTTCTATATCTTTGATGAAGTTTAGATTCCACATTTAAGTGAGAACATACAAGATTTGTCTTTCTGTCTGACTTATTTTACTTTGCATAATGCTCTCAGTGTTCATTAGAAGTCAATTCTGGGGTATTCTGTAACAAGCTAAAAGATAAAAATCAAAGTACAAATCAAGTCCCTCAAACTAAGGAGGGACAGCAATAGAGGTATCAAGACCTAGGGCAGCTGAAAACTTATCTATCCAAGAACACAGAAGCACTGGATTGCAAGCCTATAGAGTTGTTTTAAAAATCAAACATTTCTAACAAATAAAATGGCAAGAAATTCAAGAGTGCTTTTGTTACTCTCCCTACTCCAAAGTACACTGGAATATTTGGTTTCAAAATGTCAGCCCAGAGTCTAATAAAGTTACAATGTATTCCCATAGCTAGTTGGCAAAATTTCCTTGGAAAAACTCCATCCTATGCCCTTTGGTAGCCCCACAGAGTGTAACTCCAACTGCTTGGCACTATCAGGCTGTAAGTGGTGGCTAAGAATACTTAATAGCCATATTAATAAAGCAAAACTGTTTATGGATTAATCAAAGTCAGTGTATTCCAACCTAGGTAGTGTTCTTAAGTCGAATACAATTTAACACTTTAAATTTACAATCTGTGGTTTAAATTTGTTGACATTTGACATACCCTCCATGTCAACTTTCCCCATATTTATAAGTATTTACTAAATGGACTTGTTCATAGCTAAAGTATAGGTAGTCAAAAATGGCCAAACTGGGACTCCTTGGTGGCGCAACAGGTCAAAGCACAGCACAGTTCTATAAAACTATTGGTAGCCACTGCAGCACAAGTTCAATCTCCAGCCAGGGGGGTGACCCACATGGCACAGCAGACCTCTCCTGCCTCCCCACTGCTCCCCTCAGCGGTGTAATCAGTAGATCTGCCTGTTATGCTTTCCATTCTGTCTCTGGTGAATCCTCTCACCCCACAATGCCCCACACCTCTGTCCCAAACCCCAGCTCTTGTATGCATAAATAAATAAAGTAAATCTTTTTTACACTTGATGTTAGCAAAAAGGCCGAGAAGTGGTAAAATAATTTTTTTTAAAGAAAAAGACCAAATTTTAAAGTCAGCAATAGTTACTTAATACATCAGGAACATGGTTCTCAGCCAGGTTCAATTATGCCTGCTGGAGACATTTTTGGTTATCACAGTGGGGAGGAAAAACTGTGACTGGTGACTGGTGGAGCCAGGGATGCTGCTAACCATCGATGCTCCAGTGCACAGGAGAGGCCTCACAACAAAGGACTGTCCTGTCCCAAATATTGGTGATGCCAAGGTCTGAGAAACCATGCTCTCTTTTTGCACTAGGAGTCACTAACTAAGAACAGGCCAGGGAGGCTGAAGATTTCAGCCCAATGTGGTGGCTGGGCCAAAAACAAACAGAAAACCTCACAAATGTGAGGCCACATGAAAGTGATGTGGTAGTTTTATGTTACCTTTGTACTGAACCATAGCTCATCTGCCCTTCCCCAGAGTCACTACTACTTAATAAAACCTAATAGTAAACAAAAACTAACTTTAAAAGCAATTAACGATTTCTCAAACAAATTAACCATGGAGCATTTTCTGAAGCACCAGGCATGACCTAGGTTATCTGAGTTAAATTTAAGGTCTTATTCCACTTCACAGAATTTCAGGGTAAGACTTCACATCTTGGAAATTCACATCTTGAGCTTGATAAGGACCTGGAAATGTAGAGTATATACGTTTATGACATGTGAGGGCAGATTGACACAATTATTTGGATTTTTTCCAATCATCGGAGTATTTGAAACTGAAAGAAATTTCTAAGGTAATGTAGAAACTCACCATAGAATTGTTTTGATTCAAACTACTGAACTCTAGGAGAGTTGGAAGGACAATATTTAGAAAAATACAAGCATATCTCATACCTCAAATCTGCTCTTTACTCTGTGGTATCAAATTGGCAACCATGATAAAATAGTTCTTGCAGATGTTGCAACCTTGCTATTGTTTCAACAAAGCACCCCAAAGAAAAAACTATTGAAATCATTTTTGTCAAGGAACATTAAGCTTTTGTAATTACTTAATTCTCCTAAATAACCCGGCACCTTTTGGGACTTGCACAATCATTTATAACAAATCTAGAAGCGAAGACGTAGCACAGCTGAGTTTTCTAGCTAGCTTGACTTCCTGATGCTGCGGAGGGTGTGGGGGGTGAGGGGTACAGCCACAGAGGAGGGGCAGGGAGCAGATGCTGCTTAAACGGTTTCCTGTCTGTAACTTCTTTATGTCTCTGCTTACTCACTTCAAAATATTTGGTTGAAGTGCCAAAAGAATCGTGCTCAGAACTTCTTGCCTACTCCCACTGGCTATAGAACTAAGCCAGGTCAAGGTGGCTGAGACCATTTCATTCCCAGGTAGAGGCAGGGGCCCAGAGGTGGAATGTAGAGTGGTAACTTTGTGTTTCTGGTTTGGCTACCTGCCTAACCTCTCATAGAAGGCATGGCTGACCTTTAGATGCCTCAGGCCTGAGGGGAAGACCAGCAGTAGCCCGCCTGTACTCAACTTCAGGCCCCTCAAGAGCTAAAGAACCTCTGCTTGCTTCCCTGTCAAAAACATCTCAAGATGTCTTTGTGCTGCCCTGGGGGGACAGGAAGGGACAGAGCAGCTTCTTAGTATGGTCTCTGGGAAACTGGGTTCTTTTTACTGAAGTCAGGTAACTTCTTTTTGCAGTTTCCCTCACAAGAGAGTCCTTCGTATGTTACCACGAAATGATGCTGAACACCCAATTTGGGTGTTATTTTTCTCCTCTGATGACCTTTTAAAAATGTATCAAATTAGCCACTTGTTCTTTAATGGGTAAGCTCCTCAAGGAAACAGTGCTGGTCCAAGGTGGCAGTTAAAAACTGAAGAAAAAAAGGGCTTTGGCAGTTGAGACCAAATAGGAAGTGACTATGCCATCAGTTCATACTGAGGAAAAGGAAGTTGTTGCCAGGCCCTCTAAGAAAGGCAGTTGTGTAAAATTACCACCCTTCAACTTGCCTGCGGAGCTTCTGTCACCCTGTGGTAAAAGCTCCCAGAGCTTTGTTACTGCTACTCTTGAGAGAATGAGAACAGAGCAGGGGAATAACAGGCACCCCTTGCAGGACTCTTATCAGGGCCTACCAGAAGTTTCTGGGGCAGAGACTCCATTGTAGAAGCAAAGCTCTCACCCTACTTTTTTTTTTTTCCTGTGCCAAATCTATATTTTAAGATTAGTTAAAAGTCAGTAGGTTATACCAGGAGGTCTACTCAGAAGCTCCTCTTATAGCCTGTAGCAGGGCATTTATTTGGACAGAGAGCTAGAATATCTTCTACTTTCACTTGGGCACTAGAGGCAGCCAAGGTAATACTACCATTCTTTTTTC